GGGGCAGGGGGCGGCCGGGCACCGAGACCGGGGTGGGAGCACCATCTTCAGGGTCCCTGGCGAGCAGAGTTAACAAGGGCAACAGGAAAGCGTGGGAGCGGGGAGGGCAAGGCAACAGCGAAGGCTGGCAGGTGCTGGGGACTCACCTCCACGGGCACAAACTTGCGCAGGAATCGGACGCCGAGCTGCTGCATGGAGGAAGCCACCTTCTCGGCCATCTCCTGGTCGAAGCCCCGCAGGAGCTGCGAGCGCACCATGACCGTGACCTCCAGGCCCAGGCCGGCCAGGAAGCCTGCGCACTCCAGCGCCACGGAGGATGCGCCCACCACCAGGGTCGCGCCCGGGCAGTAGGGCAGAGAGAAGAGGTCATCGCTGCAAAGAGAGAAGGGGTTTCCGGGCGGGATGGTGCCATGGGGGGCCGGAATGAACAGGCGCTGAAGGGGACAGACAGCCTGTGGAATGCGTGTCCACTGTGGAGGGAGACGTCCAGCCCAGTGTCTCAAAATCAAACTAGTGGGCCACAGGCCAAGATTTTGTAAATAATAAAATGGAATAGAGGATATTAGACCACATTCTACATAGAGGATATTACGCCACATTTCTTCTAAGAAGAAACACGGCTTTGTCTGGCGTGTGTGTTGTGTGTTCACCTGAGCAACCGCACAGTGAAAAGCGTATTTCTTCAAGCACGCGCCTGCTCAGAGAAGTTTGAAATTCATTGTCCAGCTTTCCATGTCAAGGTCGTGTGTGCTGCTACAACCGTCCAATGAGGATTCCTATTACATGCCAGTATTAGGGCAGCTATGCTTCTCCTGGTCGCCTGGCTCATTACTGTCATACAGACACGAAGCCCTAAAGCAGTGAGGCAGCCACTGCTTCCCTGTGAACTCTACAAATGGTAGAGCCAAATGCCAGACCCGTCCCCAGAGCACCTATCAGGAGACCTGCGACACGCCTGTGTGCATCTGTCACCTTATTATTTACCGAGCCTACGGTCTCTGTGCTCCATTATGTTAACTACCTAGCTTTGCGTTGCATGTACTTTGATTTGTCATTAGTTCAAATCTTTTGTGAAATAAGGCAGGGAGTAAATAAACTGGAGACACAGAAACATACTATTTACAACTTACGGCTAGACGGCCTAGTTGATCTTACCTAGTAATACAGTATTCTTTATCTCCTTGGATTCCCAGATAGCGCAGCCTTTCCCCTGTTGCTATGACAAATTTTGCTGCAGTATAATACGTTTCCTGTCCTTTTCCATTGGTTGCCTTGAAAAGGGCAAAGCAAACTTCACTTTTCATCAAACACCACAGAATATCAGACACCCGGGACGCAGTAGTTACTAGGAGCTTCCTGTCAGCGGGAACACATGCAAAGACAGTAACGCACTGTGATAACCTCCTGCACAGAAAACAGGCGTGTTCACAGCCTGGGCACTACGGCCGCGGTGCGGGCCAGTGGGGGACTGGAAGGCCAGTCAGGGCGGCCGCGCGGGTGACTGCAGAGAGGACAGAGCGTGGCCAGGTGCGCAGGCTGAAGAGCAGCTGGCATCTGGGGAGCAGCCGGTGCCGGGAAGGAACAAGGAAAGAAGGCGCCCACTCTGAAGACCCCTGGGCGCCGTCCTGAAATCCAGGCTCTGCGGAATCCACAAAGCTGTTCATTGTTTATTTTCAATTACACAAGCAAATCATAAATCCATTTTCATCAGAAAATTAAAAAACAGTGGGATGGAGGGAGGGCAGCCCAGAGGAAGGTCCTGAACAGAAGAGCCAGGCTGCGGCGGGGAGAAGGCAGGCAGGTGACGGCCTTAGAAACAAGCCCACCGACTGGAGCTCCCACCCCGGTCTCCTGTGGCCACGTGAGGTTCTCAGCTCTCCACACACCACTGACACCTTTCTAGAGAAAACAGGTGACCACAAAAGGACCTCAAGTCCTGTCCAGGCCATCGAGTACTGTGCCACCAAAGCAGAGGACAGAGGTGGAGCAGGTGTTGAGGATGGTATCGGAACGTCTCTCATACTCCAGTTAAATGTTTGTGATCATCAAAATAGTCTCATTCTCCTTAAGTACTGATCTTACAACACACAAATATTACAAATATAAATGTATAAAATACACTAATTCTGATACTACTTTTACTAGTGCTTTTTTTTTTTGCGGTACGCGGGCCTCTCACTGTTGTGGCCTCTCCCGTTGCGGAGCACAGGCTCCGGACGCGCAGGCTCAGCGGCCATGGCTCACGGGCCCTGCCACTCCGCGGCGTGTGGGATCCTCCCGGACCGGGGCACGAACCCGCGTCCCCTGCGTCGGCAGACGGACTCTCAACCACTGCGCCACCAGGGAAGCCCTACTAGCGCTTTTATGAATAATATGTACCGGAGTTCTAGTTAAGGTTTCATTTTAAAAAAGAATTGCACTCCTAAAATTTTGATCTTTTTAGAATTTTGAACTCTGAACTGTTTAAACGTTTTCTCTTTTAAGATGGCAATGAAACCGAAAGGCAAATAAGTTACAACTGAGAATTCTTTAAAAGGCAATTTCTCCACTTTAGCCAGACGTGGAATCAACGAACACTGGGGAAAGCACACGCGTGCACGGCTGTGCACATGCACACCAGCTGCAGCCCTCAACGTGCAACACAGAGTCTGGGTTCATGGCAGGCATGGCAGAAGTAAGGAAAGCAACGAACGGGACAAAAACGCCCCGACAGACCTTGATTTTATGGTGTTCAACAAATTCCCCGTAGGAGCTGACGTAGGCCACGGCCCTCTCCCTCGGAGCCCTCTGGTAGCTCCAGTTCAGAGAGCCGATGCGCTTCCGAATGGCTCGGGTCATGGTCTCCCAGCTGTGCCTCACTGAGGAGAAATCACCAGGGGGTGTGAAGGGGCTGCACTGCACACGAGCCACCCCATCTATCGCTTCAAGAATCAAGGAGTGGACAGCAGATCCCTCGCAGCTGAGACCTTTGAGACGCCAGTCGCGGCCTATACTTCTTCCTCTTTTATACAAAAGATGCGAAAAGCAGAGCTGTGAAAACAAGGAAAGCCCACGGAGGAGGGCGGGGAGCGGCCATCTCGCACCCAGGCCCCAGGGTCTCGAGGTACCAGGAGCGCCCCCAGGACAGGTGCGGGACACCTCCCCAGCCACTCCCCCCGCGTCCCCGGCGGGGCTGTGACAGTGAATGCCCCGCGTTTAGATGACCGAGTTCACCCACTTCCCGTCGAAGCCCGGGTGGGGCTGACGGAATCAAGATTCCTCCTCACCCTGGACCTTCTAGGTGGGGTTTCTTTCCTGGATTCATCTCATCTGCCGATACCGGTCCCCAAGGAGACACCAGCCCAGGGCTCCCGTCAAGCTGGCGGAGGTCCCCAAAGGCAAACCCATCCATCGGGGGTTCGCCCTCTGGTCACATTTGGACCCGGACCCCTCCAGCGCTCTCGAGGGCCCCGCCCCCTGGGACGAGGGACAGGAGAGCACAGGGAAGGGGCAGAGGTCACAGTGCGCGTGGAGGCTCGGGCGGCGGCAGTGATTATGGCCCAGATGTCATGTCACCCTTCCTAGGACCTCAGTGGACAACAAGTCTCCTAAGATTTTGCAGTCCCGATGGCCATTCTGGTTACTACGTTCCCAGACCCCATGCCCATGATCCCAGGGGGTTTCGACCAGCAGTGATAACCATGTCTACACAGCTCACATGGTGTGGGGCAAGCTGCTTCCTGTCCTGTGTCCTACCTCAAGGGCCACCTTCGCCACCTCCACCGCTCAAGGCTCCTAAGTGCCCCTCAGGTTGATGCTGGAAACCTCAGCACCAACTACGGGCACTAGGTCGCTCCCCTCCCCCTCCCCCCTCCCCCCTC